CGTATGACTCAAATTGTTTAACAACAATAATAAGCTATGTCGCTTTGTGGCCATCCCTTTGCGCGTGGGACAGACGCCTTGTCGCTTAGCTGCGGAACAACAACATTATGCTATGTCGCTTTGTGGCCATCCCTTTGCGTGTGGGACAGACGCCTTGTCGCTTAGCTACGGAACAACAACATTATGCTATGTCGCTTTGTGGCCATCCCTTTTGCGTGTGGGACAGACGCCTTGTCGCTTAGCTACGGAACAACAACATTATGCTATGTCGCTTTGTGGCCATCTCTTCTGCGTGTGGGACAGACGCCTTGTCGCTTAGCTACGGAACAACAACATTATGCTATGTCGCTTTGTGGCCATCCCTTTTGCGTGTGGGACAGACGCCTTGTCGCTTAGCTGCGGAACAACAACATTATGCTATGTCGCTTTGTGGCCATCCCTTTTGTGCGTGGGACAGACGCCTTGTCGCTTAGCTACGAAACAATATTAAAATATTTAACTATTTTATATACTCGATTATGGTGATGTGATCATGTGCGTTTTCCAGTGATGCTCAAGTATATTTTATTTTATAGATTGCAAATTGCGTGATCATAGAGTGAGAGCATTACAAGTGTCCCGGCATCTAAGGTGAGTTTAGCTTCTTTTGTTTATGTTGTTTGAATATTAAATTGATATTAACACCATTCATATATTATGCTATATAAACAAAAAAAAATATTATATTTTTCTTACTCGCTCTTACAATTCAGAAGTGGGATCTGAGCTTTTCAGGTCTATGTATAATATATTTTTGCGTATTTTCAGTTTATACATATTTTTATTATAAGTTTGTATTTATTTAAGATATCTGACATGCCCAAATTATGTTATTAGATCATTATTTGTGGATAAATAAATATGTAGTATTATTATTAATAAAATTACAGTTACTAGTGATGTATTTAATTTGTATGGGCGACAGAAATAGCGGCCAACTTACTTCGACTACAACTTAATTACTTAACTACGACTTAACTGATGGCAGATAGACCAAAGAAAAGACGTATGAATGTGGCTAGAAAAGAGTTCAAACAACAAGAGAAAGTCAGAATATGAAATAATTTGGAAATTTTTCAAAATTTGTCACGAGACAGAAGAGATTCGGTACGACCTGATAGTCAAAACCAGTCAAAAATATTACAGAGTAGTAAAAGTATATGGCCGAACGTCGAAAGCATACATAGATTTTGAAAGTACATGTAACACTATATAGAAGAGTGAAGCAAATCCTATGACTTTACCTATACATATATCTCGATGTTGTGTATTGAAAGGACATCGTGATGGCAGAGTTGAATTTTTGGATACTACCAATTTAGAACTACAAATCGATGGCATTTAAAGATCGGTGGATATTTACCTGACAACGGAGCGTTCGTGTAATGAAAGATGAACTTTCTTGTCTGAAGCTAGTTCTTCTCCTGGAATAAATGATGTACAGAAAATAACTTTGCGATCAGTCATGCAGTGCCAATATCACCAAGTGAGCAAGTTACTATCAGAACTGCTGGATACTGAACATGCTAGGAGAATCTACAAAGACTATCCCATACGTGAAGGACAAGTCTACAGAACTAAAGCCAAAATACTACAATGGGTAGTTCTGCAAAAAAATGTGATTTCATGTAGTTCGAACTTCTCACGATGATTTGAACCACTTAGCTGCTAAAAAATTTACTAGGTATTATTGGTTTCCCCGGATGAAAGCTAATGTGGGAAATACATTAAGTGCTGTAGACTGTGCTTGAATAAAGAAAACGACCAACAGAAGAAAGAACTTCCAATGCATACCGTCTATCTTGATTACTTCGGACTTTATCCAAAAAGCAGAAAGAAGAATCATAATTATTTAACGCCATAGATGCCTTTACTAAGTTTATTTTCATGAAAGCCGTCAGTACAACAAAGACGAGTAAAGTGTTGATATTTTTGGATGACATATCTGCTTTATTTGAACGACCTATTCGGATTATCACTGATCTGTTTTCACATCTAAAATGTTCAGTGCTTATTGTCAAGAACGAGCAAGTATACCTGTGAAAGTAGCGTTGGTGCTTTAATTTAAAAATATCTCGGATCACAGAAAAAAAAACTGATCTATAACGCGATTCTGAAAAGCGCAATGTTATATGACTCTGGGGTATGGCTGTTAAGCAAAAAAAAACATAAAAAGAAGTTGTTGTCTACCGAAATGGACTTCTGGTGAAGATCAGCCCGAATCTCTCGTTTAAACAGAATTAGGAACGAGAGAATACATGAAAAAAAAAATGAAGGTGGATGGTAACATTGTAAAGATATACAAAAAAAAACAACTACAGTGGTACGGCCACATGTATGTACAACGAATGGCTGACGACAGAATACCAAAGCAAGTATTGCAGTAGACACCTAGAGACAAACGTAAACGAGGCTGACCTAAGCCTTCCTGGAATCAAGGATTCGACGAGCCATGTCGGAAGGGAACCTATACTATCAGGAGATATTGGGACAACAGACGAAGGACGCTGTAACAAGCAGATACATCCATACAAATTAGCGGTGGCAACGTGTAGAGCTGATAGTCAAATTGAACATTACAATTACACAATCCACAATTCACTGATGATCTCAACTCTAAAGGAACTCTAAATGATCTCAACTCTAAAGGACACAACAATATAAACATAAACAATATGCCAAATAAGAACACCGGAAAAACTTCAAGTGAATTCGTCCATAGATATCACTCTGAACCTCTGAACTTAAACAAAAAAAAATTAATTTAAATAAATTCTCTATATCAAAGAGCTACTACACGCTAAACGAATTCTTCCGGGACCTCAAAACTCAAGGCTTATCGGCAGATATATAATAATAATTCTTGAATTGAAATTGTTTTGTTTGTGTATAAATTCAGGTATATTTGTTTTATATTTGTCTTTGTGTAATTTTATATCTTAAAATTGTTCTTGTTTTCTGTATATATTCTTCGTGGAGATCCTATAATCTAAGTACCATTGTATTTATATTAAATGGAATTAATCAAATCAAATCAAATCAAATCAAATCAAATCAAATCAAATCAAATCAAATCAAATCAAATCAAATCAAATCAAATCAAATCAAATCAAATCAAATCAAATCAAATCAAATCAAATCAAATCAAATCAAATCAAATCAAATCAAATCAAATCAAATCAAATCAAATCAAATCAAATCAAATCAAATCAAATCAAATCAAATCAAATCAAATCAAATCAAATCAAATCAAATCAAATCAAATCAAATCAAATCAAATCAAATCAAATCAAATCAAATCAAATCAAATCAAATCAAATCAAATCAAATCAAATCAAATCAAATCAAATCAAATCAAATCAAATCAAATCAAATCAAATCAAATCAAATCAAATCAAATCAAATCAAATCAAATCAAATCAAATCAAATCAAATCAAATCAAATCAAATCAAATCAAATCAAATCAAATCAAATCAAATCAAATCAAATCAAATCAAATCAAATCAAATCAAATCAAATCAAATCAAATCAAATCAAATCAAATCAAATCAAATCAAATCAAATCAAATCAAATCAAATCAAATCAAATCAAATCAAATCAAATCAAATCAAATCAAATCAAATCAAATCAAATCAAATCAAATCAAATCAAATCAAATCAAATCAAATCAAATCAAATCAAATCAAATCAAATCAAATCAAATCAAATCAAATCAAATCAAATCAAATCAAATCAAATCAAATCAAATCAAATCAAATCAAATCAAATCAAATCAAATCAAATCAAATCAAATCAAATCAAATCAAATCAAATCAAATCAAATCAAATCAAATCAAATCAAATCAAATCAAATCAAATCAAATCAAATCAAATCAAATCAAATCAAATCAAATCAAATCAAATCAAATCAAATCAAATCAAATCAAATCAAATCAAATCAAATCAAATCAAATCAAATCAAATCAAATCAAATCAAATCAAATCAAATCAAATCAAATCAAATCAAATCAAATCAAATCAAATCAAATCAAATCAAATCAAATCAAATCAAATCAAATCAAATCAAATCAAATCAAATCAAATCAAATCAAATCAAATCAAATCAAATCAAATCAAATCAAATCAAATCAAATCAAATCAAATCAAATCAAATCAAATCAAATCAAATCAAATCAAATCAAATCAAATCAAATCAAATCAAATCAAATCAAATCAAATCAAATCAAATCAAATCAAATCAAATCAAATCAAATCATCAAAAACGAACAACTGATCAGTGCTTGGTTTATGCAGTTACATGAATACCTCGGGTAGTAGATAGTCTTTTGCTTGAAAGAGAAAGAACAAGCAGATTAACTGAGCTGACTGAAAGCAAACAGACAGTTTACTTTGATAAAACTCGTAAAGAAGCAAGACAGCCCAAGATAGGTGATTTGGTGCTTATCAAGAGAACAGCACCAGTAGTCATATCAGCCGTAAATTACTTTCCGTCTGCAGCGGACCAATAGTAATAAAATCCGAATTGTCACATGATAGGTACGTGGTAGAGGATATGGAGTCCACTTATTGAAACAAACGTAAAGTTAACTAAACGAACGGTGGCAGTGATACACTGGAAACATGTGGTGAAGTTTCAGATTCAGCTGCTAGTGAAAGATATGGTAAATATGGAGATTTAGTATTATCCGATATTTAAGCGTATTTATCCGATAATTAGGCGATATTAGGCGTAAGCCTAATGAAATCCGATTAGGCAAGCTCGGGACGAGCTTCTAGCAGGATGGCCGACTGTAAGAGTCTTGTTTTCCGTTAAAAAAATTGTTTATATTAAATTGTGTTATTTTAAGAAATAATATTTTATTTGATTCTCTAATTGGCTTTTCTTGACCGCATGTATAAAATGGTCGTTTCCTAGACGATGCGGTTTGCATTGTTGATGATTATTTTGCCTGACGTCGCCATTTATCAAAAAATATTAAATTCAGATTATAATTGTGTGGAAAATATTTCTGGGACTGAATAGAAGGAATGAAGTATTATACAGGTGAGTGTATTTTGTTCACTCACGGGCATTACTGGGATTTGTATGAGAGTAGTTTAATATTATTCAGTTAACAGTTATTGAGCTTTAGTAGTAGATAGAGAAGGGTATTTTAGTATTACTTTTCTGTGTGTGTGTTTTATAGTAGACAAGTGTTTATCAAAGGGCATTTTAATATAGTTTAGTTAAAAGATAGATGTTTATCAAAGAGTGTTTTAGTGTTATTTATTATAGATACGTAATGGACAGCTATTTATCAAAGAGTATTTTAGTAATATTTATTGGGTGTGATTTATAATACCTGGCAAATTATCAAATGGTATTTAGTATTATTATTTTGGAGTGTTTTATATTTTTACGTATGACTCAAATTGTTTAACAATAACATTAAGCTATGTCGCTTTGTGGCCATCCCTTTTGTGTGTGGGACAGACGCCTTGTCGCTTAGCGCGGAACAACAATATTATGCTATGTCGCTTTGTGGCCATCCCTTTTGCGTGTGGGACAGACGCCTTGTCGCTTAGCTACGGAACAACAACATTATGCTATGTCGCTTTGTGGCCATCCCTTTTGCGTGTGGGACAGACGCCTTGTCGCTTAGCTACGGAACAACAACATTATGCTATGTCGCTTTGTGGCCATCCCTTTTGCGTGTGGGACAGACGCCTTGTCGCTTAGCTACGGAACAACAACATTATGCTATGTCGCTTTGTGGCCATCCCTTTTGTGTGTGGGACAGACGCCTTGTCGCTTAGCTGCGAAACAACAACATTATGCTATGTCGCTTTGTGGCCATCCCTTTTGTGCGTGGGACAGACGCCTTGTCGATTAGCTACGAAACAATATTAAAATATTTAACTATTTTATATACTCGATTATGGTGATGTGATCATGTGCGTTTTCCAGTGATGCTCAAGTATATTTTATTTTTATAGATTGCAAATTGCGTGATCATAGAGTGAGAGCATTACACAAGTGTCCCGGCATCTAAGGTGAGTTTAGCTTCTTTTGTTTATGTTGTTTGAATATTAAATTGATATTAACACCATTCATATATTATGCTATATAAACAAAAAAAAATATTATATTTTTCTTACTCGCTCTTACATTATAGACATTGTAAATGATCGTAAACTAAAAAGTATAAAGTGTAATTGAAATCACTAATTTATTCCAATAATTGGGAGGTTCTGAATAAAGCTTTTACCTTTTCAACTAATTATATGTACTTCAAAATTTGCGAGGAATGTCATTTTCGCCTTTGATCATCACGCGTCAATAGAACATTGTGGTTAAACATCAAAAAGTTGATTGTTTTAGGCTTTAATAAAGGATATTAGGCTTTCTCTATGGATACAACTGACTACCGCAAGCTGTTGCTAAGAATAGTTATTTTTTATAAAAGGACGATAAAATGGTATTTTATAGAGACGATAATGCAGTTTGTTTTATTTTATCGTCGTGTATAAAACAATATTTTTTTTCCATAGGGAGTTACGTTTTAAAAAATATTCAGAAATTATTAATTCAAGGGATTTATTACGAGTAGAAAAAATATTCTGCTGGATTGGCGTTGGTATCTATGTAATTTGACAAACATAGTTGACAAATAAATAAAGCTGTCTCTTTAGTTGTCAGTTTTGAGTTAATATTTTTTAATTCTCTTTCCTGCCGATTGGTAATTGAATTGGAGCCAGAAATGGCTCAAAACGAAATAAGTAAATTACCAACAGATATTCAGTCTGATGAGGCGACAAACGCCATATCCAAACTACTTCCAATTAAATCCCGAATAACTTATGAAAAGGGATACAAAGATTTTCAAAAATGGAAGCAATTAAAAAACGTGCGAGAAGAAATAAAGTTTTTAACCTATCCTCGTTGTTAAATAATCATTTAATCTACCCTTACGGTTAAAGTACTATTTTATCTACTATTTTTGACAGATTTAAGGCAATTTTTGTTGCTATGAAAAAAATTATATTAATTTCTTAATTGGGTTTTTTAGACATTGAGAATGATCTTATTTATAGAAAACTATATTAAACTAAAAAGTATAAAGTGTAATTGCAACCACTAATTTATTCCACTAATTGCGAGGTTCTGAATGAAGGTTAAAACTTCATTTAGGACCTGGAAATTAGTGGAATAAATTAGTGTTTTTTAGCATAGAAGTTAGTGTCTGTTCCTCTAATTTCAATGTAAACATTCAGAAAATCAAAATTAAAATTAATGATAGTAATTTCCAATTCGTAGAAAAACTTAACAAACTTTTAATTTTTCTACTAATTATACAGGGTGTTCCTTATAATAACATGCTAATATTTAAGGGAGTGATCTTGGACCTATTCTAAGAGAAAAAGTTCATATGAATGTATTTCCTAAACATCTTAATTTCGGAGATACAGGGAGATAAAATTTTGCAAAAGAAAACTTTTTTTCATAATAACTCTAATTTTATTATAGATATCTTTATGAAACTAGATACACGTCTTCTATCAATCAAAATACTTTTTTTGATGTACAAACAATTTTATTTATTTCAACCAGTGTCGTCCATGCGGTCCATGCGGACTTCTTTTAAAATAAAAATTATTTTCAATATCTCCATTCATTTCTAAACATTTTTATCTCTTGATTTTTTTCGTCCGGTGCATATTTACTGCTTAAAAAATTAGTCAGTTTACTTCAGGGTCAAATCGCTGAAAATCTAATGCGGCGACTGTTGTGTGCAAGTCGTTTCTGCATCGGCTGGAAGGAAATTAAGAAATAAAACATTTATTTAAGAAATAAGTGCAAGTATTTTAACTGGTAGTATAGTTCAACCCCAGAAACACACTTGTGAGTTTTTTTTTGCGAAATTTTTTTTTTGGAAATTCGGAATTTTTTGAAAAATTTTTTGGAATTTTTTTAGTTTTTAGTTAAAAAAACATAATTTCCTTATACTATGGCAACATAGGTAGTAGATTAAATTTATAAAAAAGAAACCCAGAAAAGATCCAGTGGTTCTCAAAATTTTAAGAAAAAATATTTTTTTTGGAAATTTTCAAAGTAAAAAAACTCCGTTATTTTGGACTTATTTGAAAAACGATAAAGATAAAATATATTTTTTTTATAGAGATCTACCACCCCTTAAAATACTTGCACTTATTTCTGGGATACCCTGTATATATAATATACAGGGTGTCCCAGAAATGAGTGCAGATATTTTAACTGGTAGTATAGTTCAACCCCAGAAACACGCCTATGAGGTTTTTTTTGCGAAAAAAAAATGTTGAAAATTTTATATTTTTCTTGACATTTTCCGGCAAATGTTGAAAAACTTTTGAGTGCCACTGTTCACTCCCCGGGAAATTCGTTTAGCGGGCATAGAGAGTGTCGGAGAGAATGCAACGTTGCCACCTCCTACCATACCCACATTCTGCATGTTTATCTATAAATTCAATTATTTTAAGTTGCTACAGAAAAAAATACGAAAATTAATTTTATTCATATTAGTGTAGATTGCTCTACTAATTCTAGAGAAACGCGCAATATTCTAAATACTTTTTACAGTGGAGTAAACTGAAAAAATAAATCTTAACAATTATAGCTTCTTTTTTCGCCATATTAGGAAATATTTTCAATCGTTTTGAAACGATTGAAAATTAAAAACGATTGTTTATTGATAAACAATTATAAGCTTTAATGTTTAGTTAGAGCTTACCCTTTTAATGAAAGTGTTTTTTATCCAGCACACATATACGCAAACACATACACACCAAATATCTATTAAACTGAACATCACAAACCTATCACATGCCTATCACTTTTAAAATATTATTTAAATTTTTTCACATGATAATAATCAAACACTAAACTCATAAATACAATAAAAAATGTTAAAAAAAACTTGCTTTAATAACTACTTATATCCGGCTGCTGATGGTAGACAGTCCGGGGTTTTCTTCGACATCAAAACCGACGCAACCCCGACAACGATTTCGAAAACACTGAAGGAATTACAAATTACAAATTTTTATTTACGATTTTTTTGACTTAGCGTCCTCTACTCGACTGATGTATTACTATTATGGGTCAACGTTTCGGTGGTTGTATAAAGATAGATAAATCAATTTTCTAAATGTTTAATGTATGGAGTAGGGATATCCCAAAAATAAAATAAAAATACAAGAAAGAATTAAGGTAAAATCAAAGAATATTCTACGTTATCTAAAATATAAAAATATGGGAAGCCCCGACAAAAATCTGACACCTGATATTAAAGTGATAAACAAACATCGGCGCATGCGGCAGCGAGCACTTACACTTAATTTTTCAGTTCATTGCTAGATGGCCTTTTACTAGAGATGCACTGCAAACAAATATTCCAGCAAAACTAAAAATGTTTTTTCTTATTCTAAATTCTAACAAATAAATAAACCTGTAAAACTGTATAAATAAAATCGGTCTTCGATTTTAAAAAAAAGATCGATTATACCAAAAAATCGTTTGATAAAAATCACGTCGATTTGATAAAAATCGATTCGAAACGTACATCCCTAGTATGGTGCGTAGTTTAAGGTTATGTTTAAGGTTATTCGTGGGTTATTAAACTCGCACAAAAACAAAACAGAAAACAACAAAAAACAATGCAAACAATGCCAAATAAACCTGTAAAAAAGTACTTTTATTATTCAAAATGAAATATCATATAATTCAGTTGGTATACGAATATTTTTTGATTTATTTATAATGTTTTGTGTCAAAAATATGTGAGAAATGAGGTAAACAGTTCAATATAAAAAAACTCAAAATTTAAGTGAGGATGCAGTCAATAATCATCACATAAAACTACTTTCTACTTTTTCAAATTTGTCAAGCTTTCGAGAATTTTATTCCCATAATCAGGACGACACCCTGTATACTTAAAAATTTGCGAGTAATGCCATTTTGAACTTTAATTATCATCCCTCAAGAGAACTTCTGGTTAGAAGTGAAAAGTTTACTGGTTTATAAAGCAGTAAATTACAGTCTAATAATTAGCTTATAAGCTAATTATTAGGCTTTCTCTATGGGTACAACTGAATACCGCAAGCTGAAAAAATGGACTAAACACCAATCGGGTGCGTCTCAAAAGTGGCTAACCCCTATAACTTTTTTATTTTTGCAGTTAAAAAGACGAGATATGGTATGTTAGTATATGACATAAATTAGGATTGATTGACGTATTCAGTTGTTTTCGGTCACTTCCTGTTTCACCCGAAATGACTAAAACTTTTGATTTTTAAATGGCACCCTCGGTATTTTTTTACTTTATTCGATAGAAAATGACATTCTGAATAGAATGATATATCATATGTCAACTTTTGACATTTTTGCATATGGTTCATTTAAAATTATAACTTGCGGTTCGTAACGAAAATTTGACTCGAAATACCAAGTGTCTGGTATCAAATTATTCGTAAAAAAATGCTTTTTCCAAATATGCTAGTGCGCCACCCTCGTTCCATTTGAAAAAATTGAGATATGATAAAAAATACGATTTGGGCACTTTCTAACTGCCCCGGACAAGACACTAAAAACATTAGACGACCAAATCTATTTTTCCAAGGCTTCTTGATTAAGAATTAGTGTTTTTAACATAGCCATGGCACTCTAGATTGAATTTTATAATACAATTTTTTATTAAGCGAGAATGTCAAAAGTTGACATATGATATGTCATTCTATTCAGAATGTCATTTTCTATCGAATAAAGTAAAAAAATACGAGGATGACATTTAAAAATCCAAAGTTGTAGTCATTTCCGGTGACCAAAAACAACTGAATACGTCAATCAATCCTAATTTATGTCATATACTAACATACCAAATCTCGTTTTTTTATCTGAAGAAATAAAAAAGTTATAGATAGGGGTGAGCCACTTTGAGACGCACCCGGTATATTCAAACAAAAAAATATATATTTAACTTTCTTTTGCATTTGTATAAAAGTTTATCGTTTGAACTCGA